CGACCCTCTTTGGAAAGGCCCATGCAGTTCTCCGTCTCCCTCTCAAGGGGGGGTCAGGGTGCTGCGGGGAAGGAGGGACCGTACCCACTGCACGGGTGATGGGCAATGCCCCAGCAGAGATTGCCTGGGCAGCTTTACAGAAGCTAGCAGGTAGCTCAGGAAAGCATCCAACAGCCTAAGGATTGGAGAGCTGGGACCCCTCTGCATCCAAACTCTCCCATCCCTTCCCAACAGCCATGTCAACTCTTTGTGTCTCACCAGGAGAAGAAAGCAAAGGAAAGGCAGGTACAACGGTTCCTATACACGCTCTGGAGCAGCAAGAAACAGCCAGATGTCCAGAGCCTGGTGGAGCTCCTCACTGCTGTCAGACGGTGCATGCCCCACCGAAAGAGAGCCGGTCCTCTCCTGCTGCACTGCAGGTATGTCATGTTACCACTCCATCCATGGGCAGCCTCCACAGCTGGTATCCACCAGGCTGCACAGCACCTTGGCATGGCCACCAGCAAACCAAGGACCCCAAGGTTTTGGGGTACGTTGAGAGGAGGTCCGTGGGAGCCAGGGAAGCTCTGAGCTTGGGAGGTCAGATGAAGCAGTGCTCTGCCAAGTGCATGGGAGAAAGGAGGGCAAACAGTGCTGGGCCAGGGGCAAGCGTGGATGGAGCATTCCTGAGGTGAGGTGTCCAGGCCATCCCTGGGCTGACTGCTAGGATCCTGGGAGCAGCCCTGACGTCCTCATCTGCCTGCAGCCAGGGAGAGCTCACCATCCCACGGGATCCGACACAACCGGCACTTCGGCAGAGCTAGCTTGGATGAGGGATGCACAGCGCGGCGGAGCAGGGTGGGCTGGGTGTCCAGGCTCCCTCAACGGGCACTTTGGGGTCTCCTCCCTGGTCAGCACAGGCCTCCCTGACACCTAGACCAGTGCTCACACTCCCTGTCCCCACCGTACTCAGTTGCTGCATGAGAAATCATGGGGCTTCTGACTTCCTGGGCTGGTGCCCACTTCCAAAGAGGTTCAGCTCAGCCTGGCCTGCCATCAATGACCCTCCCTTGCCCCTTGCAGCAGTGGCGTGAGCCAAATGGGGACACTGATCTCCCTGGATTGCCTGTTGCACCAGATGAAAGCCGAGAGAATCGTGGATGTCTATGGGGTGACCCTCCAGCTGACGAGAAGCTGCTGTCTCATGACCCCAACACTGGTAGGTGGGAAGGAGAAAGGGTGGTGGGCCAGGCAGAAGAGGACATTCGTGCTGAGCTGCCCGGAGCTGGCAGCCTGCTGCCCACTCCCCGGTGGTACCTGCCCCCTGGGAGCCCCTCCAGCCTTGGCAGGGGTTTATTCCGTGCTTCCTCTGCCAGCCACCGAGGGCTCTGGCTTTTCCCAGGGAAGGGTTTTCCATCTCTTCAGTTCTGGAGTTAAAATAGGTTAAATTGCCTGTGAGCTCATGATAAATGCAAGGGCCTGGGAAGCCTAAAGCACTGGTTTCAGC